GTGTGTGTGTGTGTGTGTGTGTGTGTGTGTGTGTGTGTGTGTGTGTGTGTATGTGTGTGAGTCATCATTGTGTTTGTAGCTATGTTGGGGATAAATTAATCCTACAAAGAATGGTCGTGGTGGGAGGGATGGGACAGGGGGGGATGGAAGGGAGGGAAGAATGGGGGAGAAGGGGATGGAAGGGGAAGAAGGGGGGAGGGAGAGGATAGAGGAGGGAGGGGAAAGAAGGAAGGAAGGAAGGCGGGGAGGGGGGAGGATGGAAGGGGAAGGAAGGGGTAAACCCTGCTAATGTTCCCACGTGTCCTTACGTACAAAGAGACCCAATACGTATGCAAATAGTACCAGCTTCTTGCCTGAACGTGAGGTCGAGCAATGCCAGGTGGTGCCTCTCGCTATCAAGGTTTGTCAGTGGGAAGTGAGTGAGTGGGGGAGAGGGAAGGGAGGAGTGGGGGAGTGGGGGAAGGAGTGGGGAGGGAGGAGAAAGTGGGAGGGGTGGAAGGAGTGAGGACAGAGATGAGGAGAAATAAGGTGGAATGGAGAAAAGATAGGGAGGGAATGGGTGGAATGAAGAGAGGAATAGAATAATGCTACACCACCAGCATCTTGTTGCCCTCCCCTGGAAATGTGTGGGATTGGGATGGGTGGAGTCGACTGAATCTCTTATGCAATAGATGGAGTATTATAGTTCTTCCTGTGTTCCTCTCTGTGTGTTCATTGTCTGTCGTTAAATAAATTCATAAAATCTGTCTCATATGATTTGAGAGTGAGTCATCTGCAGACCCTAGTAAAATAGGAAGTGGTGTGGCAGAGAAGAGAGAGAGATGTTAATCCACTATCACACACACACACACACACACACACACACACACACACACACACACACACACACACACACACACATATCCCCACGATATTCTAATGTGCGACGTCTGAAGTAATGGAAGAATTAAGGGAATTAGGAGGGCCAGGGGCGGCGCCTCTAGGACCCCAAGAAGGCGACTCTGATCCTCCCTGAGTCGCGCCAGAAGCCCTCGCGTCCACGTTTTTACCTCCGCCAGGAAGCGACGGCTCAGAGGAGACGGGGTCGTGGAAAGATCTTTATGGTAGGATGATATGCGTATCACTCTCTGTGTCCTGTGATCATCTAACAGGGCGGTGCTGGTTGAGAGACACGTGTGGTTATCCGAGTGGATTTAGAGAAAACGAGTGACACTTGTGAGAATCTTTCCTCACCTCCCCGTAAACTTGGCGGCCTCCTAGATTATCACTAATCTCCAAGGGGATGTTTCTCCTGGGGTGGATGTGGTCGTCTCAGCCGGGGGATACAGGTGGACTTGCAGGGAATACAGCTGTCTTTCCAGGGGATGTACTTGATCCCTGATATGTCGCCACCAGGCCGCGGGAGAAGTGGGCTCCAGGGCAGGACAACATGGGCGTCCCTCCAGCCTCCGAGTGAGTACCTCTGCTTGGGTGAGAATCATGGTCTGTTTTGTCGCATATGGAGTTACGTTTTGGGATAAATAATTATACGAACAGGACCAGTGAGCGTTCTGTTGTTCTGTTCTGGAAAAATATTATTATTTTACCAATAATAACTGAACCTATGACGATAATATAAGGAGGAAGAAGAAACGTTACTTAATATTCACTCCTCATTAACTACCAGTTACTGTACGAGACACTAGTCGACCATTACCGTCAAGTCCGGGATAGTATGGTAACCAGGCCATCCGAGGTAACCACGTATAGATAATTGTTCACTGTCGTTACCTTACGTTAGCATTAGAGTAGGTAGTTAATCCTAAGGTGAAATAAGTTAGAAGGTTGAGAATATTCAGGTTGATCCCGAAATACTAATGAATCATATTATAATTCTCATGAACGAAACAAGGCGCTCGGGCTATTAGACTATAGTTAAAGTAGAAATAATAATAACAAAATAAACAACGCTACATGTATAAGCTCCACACTACAGGCGGCTCTAAGCCACACCCCGCCACACCCCGTTGGTATTTTCTCCTCCGTCAGTGACTAAGACCAAGAGATGGAGTAGAGGTTATCTGCAGTGCCTGGCTCACGTCTTCACCCCCTCCCCCGTGTTAAGACTTTTACTCAGGCCAAGCGGCGAGGCTCCGTGCTGGGGAAGGATAAATGTAAATACTTAATTACAGGAAGAGTATACGGTGAGGCTCAAGACTACTGAGGATCTGAGAGTCTTCCTGTCGAGAGTCATTACTCCCTGCACCTCCCCGCCATTACCCTCCCCCGTCTCGTTTGTTCCCTGGGGGTAATGTCTCTCTCTCTCTCTCTCTCTCTCTCTCTCTCTCTCTCTCTCTCTCTCTGGGTTTTGAAATGCTTGGATTTTATTGTGCCTTCTTCTTGGGCGGGAATGTTACGAGCGTGTTAAGGAGGAAGAAAATAAGATGAATGATGATTGTTTTCAGTTATGGGTTAGGTTGATGTGATAACAATGGTCATTCCTGCACAACAACACTCGCTAACAGCCGCCTGAGATGCAGCTGATGAAAGGCTAGCAAACAGCAGGTCGACGGAGATACGAAAGGTGGAAATAAGTCCAGCTATTGTGACCTTACATGACCCGGAATTACATATTAGGCCTCTTATGAAATCGTATTTTACAGTTTGAAACTATTCACTCATGTAGTTGTTGTTGTTGTTCTTCTTTGTTGTTGTTCTTCTTCTTTGTTGTTGTTGTTCTTCTTCTTTGTTGTTGTTGTTCTTCTTCTTCTTTGTTGTTGTTGCTTCTACCTAACGAATTCACTTCAAGAATAACTCCCCCCCTCCCCCCCCCTCCCCTATAGCCACTACCATATTTCACCTGATGACCAAACACCTTAATGCTAATCAGGGGGGCTTGCATCGTACTCAGGGGGGTTGACAATGTACTCATGAACATAATCCGTTGTACTCGTGGGGTTTAATGTCGTACTCATGAACATAATCCGTTGTACTGAAGGGGATGATAAGATCTAAAATAAAAAAAAATCCAGGCTGGTGATTAGAAAGTGCACACAGTCTGGCGTAAACATACCTTTAAGAGCAAGGTGAGTAATTAGCAATCCAGGGACATATTCCACACTAAAAGCAACGTAGGTAGATCTTAAGAACTCACTTTGAGATCGCCTGAAGATTAACCCCCCCCAAGCTTATTGCACATAACCTAACCTAACCGAACTTAACTTAACCTAAACAAGCTTATTTCACATAACCTAACCTAACCGAACCTAACTTAACCTAACCAAGCTTATTTCACATAACCTAACCTAACCGAACTTAACTTAACCTAACCAAGCTTATTTCACATAACCTAACCTAACCGAACTTAACTTAACCAAACCAAGCTTATTTCACATAACCTAACCTAACCGAACCTAACTTAACCTAACCAAGCTTATTTCACATAATCTAACCGAACCTAACTTAACCTAACCAAACTTATTTCACATAACCTAACCTAACCGAACCTAACTTAACCTAACCAAGCTCATTTCACATAACCTAACCTAACCGAACCTAACTTAACCTAACCAAGCTTATTTCACATAACCTAACCTAACCGAACCTAACTTAACCTAACCTATCCAAGCTTATTTAACCTGATCCTAACCTAACCGAACCTAACTTAACCTAACCTAGCCAAGCTTATTTAACCTGACCCTAACCTAAACTGACTTAACCTAACCTAATCTAACCTAACCTAAGCTAACCTAACTGTAAATGGAATGCAGATTAGGAGGAGGAAGGGAGATCAGAGATAAACCAAAGTGCTGGTGTAAATAATTGTGAGTAACGATGAGGAGAGAGGAGAGAAGGGGGGGAGGAGAGAGAGAGAGAGAGAGAGAGAGAGAGAGAGAGAGAGAGAGAGAGAGAGAGAGAGAGAGAGAGAGAGAGAGAGAGAGGGGAATGGAGGAGGATGGATGGAGGGACGGAGGGAGGGATGGACGGAGGGCAGGCTGAAGGATGATGACCAAGAGCATCACGACTAAAAGCTGATGTGTGTTGTGCATCCGCGGGGGAGGAGAGGACCACACAACTGTCTCCCCCTCCCTCCCCTCCCCCTCCCTCACCCCCTACCTCCCTCTCCCCCCGCCTCCATTCCTCCACACGCACGGTCATACAACATCCTCAAAATACAACTGTCTTTTCCTCCAACAAAAAGACAGAAACTCAAGCGACAAAACATCACCCCACACGACCCAACCAAATCTTTAATATTTTCCCTCCTTCACTATTTCGGAAGATGACGGGAGACAGGAATAATCTAATAAGAGGAATAGCTTAAAAATTTGTGAGAAATAGGGGATATAACAGAGATTGGACAAGATTGAAATTCCACATGAGGGTTTTCATAAAGGTCCACCAACCACCCCATCCCCCATCCCCCATCCCTCCCGACGACATGAAAGAATTGTACGAAAGTTGCGTTTGGCTTATCCAATATGCTGGAATTTCTCACGTCTACGATTATTTACATTACGGGTTAAAATCTCAGCTATTTATTCTGTCTGTTCAATGTCTGTCTGATCATACTGTCTGTTCCCGGTCTGTCTGATCATGCTGTCTGTCTGAACGTGTCTGGTATCAACATTCTTAAATACTCTGATGATTATAATTAATTTTGACGTGTTATACTGGTAATTAAATAAGACGTCGTACTTACTAATAACTCAATAACAATGAATAACAAATGCCCTAAAAATAACACATGCTCAATGCCTCAATAACAGCAAATACCAAGTACCAATTATAATAACATGTTAAATAATAATGTCAATAACAACATCATCTACAAGTAACACATAATAAAACGTAATTAATACAACAATACAACATCAATAACAAATCACTAATAATTATAATAACACTTGTTTAATTACACGTCAATAACCTTCCCGACACTTAACGAGGAAATCAGTAAAAAAAAAAAAAAAACTAAAATCGACACAGTGAGGATAGGTTAGGTTAGGTTAGGTTAGGATATGAGGATTAACTATAACTGTGTCTCTCTTTTACTTCCACAGAGATGCCCTATTTCCTGGAGCCTATTAGCAACGTGACGGTACCAGCAGGTAGAGATGTGGGTCTAGCTTGTGTTGTCGACCACCTCGGCTCGTATAAGGTCAGTCTCTCTCTCTCTCCCTCTCCCTCTCTCTCTCTCTCTCTCTCTCTCTCTCTCTCTCTCTCTCACGTCAAATAACGCTCCTCTCTAAAATTCTACCATAGACCGTACTGATTATTTTATCCTGAAGAGAGGCAGCAGTATGAGTGTGTGAGTGTGTGTGTGTGTGTGTGTGTGTGTGTGTGTGTGTGTGTGTGTGTGTGTGTGTGTGTGTGTGTCCATCTAGTAGGTCCCTTGTCACACCGCTCTCCCGACCCTCCCTCCTATGCACATATTAAATGGAACATGTTACAAGCCCCTGTCTCCCCTCCTCACTCTTTTACCATCACATCTGTTACTGCATCTAGTTCACGTTCTGGGGGTCTCTACTATTTTATACGGTGCCAAGCTGTAGCAAGTTTCCTCTCACTGGCACTGGCACCTCTCCATCATCTCTACTACATGAAATTTTCTCACTGGCACTGGTACCCTTCCTTAACTATTACCTGACGTTCTCTCACTGGTACCCTTCCTTAACTATTACCTGACGTTCTCTCACTGGCACCCTTCCTTGACTATTACCTGACGTTCTCTCACTGGCACTGGCACCCTTCCTTCACTATTACCTGACGTTCTCTCACTGGCACTGGTACCCTTCCTTAACTATTACCTGACGTTCTCTCACTAGCACTGGCACCCTTCCTTAACTATTACCTGACGTTCTCTCACTGGCACCCTTCCTTGACTATTACCTGACGTTCTCTCACTGGCACCCTTCCTTAACTATTACCTGAAGTTCTCTCACTGGCACTGGCACCCTTCCTTCACTATTAAGTGACGTTCTCTAACTGGTAATGCCTTTATGAGCACCTCTCCTTAACTATTACTACAGTATACCTGAGGGAGTGGTGATAGTGTGTGGGAGAGGTGAGGTGGGGTGGTGGTGATGTTAGGGGTGACACTGTAGGGAGAGAGGAGACAAATGGAGGTAGTTTGGGGGGTAGGGAGGAGATAGGGAGGGAGGAGATGGGGAGGAGAGGGAAGGGAGGTATGTGTGGGAGGGAGGAGGTAACCACGTGCCTGTCGCAATATATAAATGTGTTTGTTGTGCATATATACAAGTGAATTTACCCGTGTATCTGTTAGCATGAATTGCCCATGTAATTGTCCATATGAGTGTGCCCGGTGGTGTGTGTGTGTGTGTGTGTGTGTGTGTGTGTGTGTGTGTGTGTGTGTGTGTGTGATATAGAGGCCCGTTAGTGGCAAGGTATACTCGAAGGCATTATATTAAGGCTGGAACTGCAGTCAACCCATTGCACTTCCTCAACCGTGAAGAAATTACCCTAAGGAGAAGGTGGCGAGGCTGTACCTTACCTATCCTAACCAAACGTAACCTAACCTAACCAAACGAAACCTAACCTAACCTAACCAAACGTAACCTAACCTAACCAAACGAAACCTAACCAAACGTAACCTAACCAAACGCAACCTAACAGGTGCTAAGGGTATGGTGCACTCACAGATTTTCCAATTATTTAACACATCCCTAACAGGCCTAATTCTTAAATAGGCCCCAGCGTATAACGTGATCTAACCTAACCATTAAAGCAGGAGCCTAGTTCTATTGGGCCCCGAATCCTACTGGGCCCTAGTGCTTGTGTGCTTAGGTCCCAAGGCCCTAATATCTAGTGATGTTATGTGCCCCAATCCGATTAAGCTACAAACCTCACCTAACCGAACCTAATCTCTCCTTACCATTAACACCCCCTAATAACCTAATGACGTCACGGTTTGTTTACATGATATAATCCCGAGCAATACATGAGGGGGGGGGAAGGATTCTCTATGGTGGGTGACCATCCAAATAACATAGGATTTACAATACACGTTTTGTAAAGGTTCGATTATGGAGCGATTTGTCGGCCATTTGGTTAGGCACACAATTTATTTTTTTGTTTTTTTGTTTTGTCTTTTACGTTCAATAACTCCCCCGAAAAAAATAGTACGTCATATAATCATAAAACTACAATAATGGAAAAATTATAGATATGATTTCCTCCAATATTTCCTAACCTGTTGTTTCTATAATTATTCAACGATAAATTAAAACAAAGGTAAATATTGATTAATCGAGATAGGTTTTAATTTCACGTACATAATTATTACGTAAGAATGTACGTGTATGTATTATCACGTACAGTTGGACAACGGACAACGTACGTAACGCAAGAGTGGTGACCTCAGCAGTGTTTGGCATTGTTCGTAGGTGGTTAATTCATATTAGTCAATGACATTCCTTCCTCAATGGGTGAATTAGTTGTACTCAGAAGGCTGGCATCAGTTATAATACCCTACTCAATGGGCTAATGTGACACCGTACTCGAGATGCTAAAAACTAACTCAAGGGGCGAATTCAATATACTCAAAAGGACTCGCATCGTACTCGGTGGATAAAAGCAAGTACCTTTTATATCTGAGTGGAAGCCTTGGTATATTATGAACGGGTGGCGGTGAGCGAGAGCAGTGTTCCGGCTCATATACCCAGATGGTCTACGGACGAGCTGGTTGGTGAGTTGTGGCTCCCAGTCAGGTCTTCCTCTGGTGGTGATGCATAGCTCGAGTCCGCTTTGTAGTTAAGAACGTCTTTGTCTTAATAAATAATAACCTATTTTATCGTTGGACTCTCACCCCCGATACGTTATACCTGACTTTCATCCGTTCTGTGGCAAGGCTTTTAATGGTACACTCAGCCTTACTTTTATTTAATAAACAAATGTCATTTTAATGTAAGAACTAATAATTTACTGGAGTGATCAAGACAGAGAATCTAAGGGCGGAGTTACTTATTATGTTCGTATATTTTTCACATTGATTAATCTGACAACTCACTCACCGCCAAAGCTCACAAAGACTCTCATGTTGATTCTTGGCTTGAATGGAAGGCTCAGGCCCTTCCTTTTATATGAATCCTTGCTCACACAGCATGAAAATGATTGCACAATCGGCTACGCTAGCCAAAAGCGGAACAACCCTTGGGTGGACCAGCATCCTGCCAGGGTGGTGGAGTAACCCACTAGCTGCTGAATGATGGTGGAACAACCCTTGGGTGGACCAGCATCCTGCCAGAGTGGTGGAGTAACCCACTAGCTGCTGAATGATGGTGGAACAACCCTTGGGTGGACCAGCATCCTGCCAGGGTGGTGGAGTAACCCACTAGCTGCTGAATGATGGTGGAACAACCCTTGGGTGGACCAGCATCCTGCCAGAGTGGTGGAGTAACCCACTAGCTGCTGAATGATGGTGGAACAACCCTTGGGTGGACCAGCATCCTGCCAGGGTGGTGGAGTAACCCACTAGCTGCTGAATGATGGTGGAACAACCCTTGGGTGGACCAGCATCCTGCCAGGGTGGTGGAGTAACCCACTAGCTGCTGAATGCCATGGTGGAACAACCCTTGCTGAATGATGGTGGAACCCTTGGGTGGACCAGCATCCTGCCAGAGTGGTGGAGTAACCCACTAGCTGCTGAATGATGGTGGAACAACCCTTGGGTGGACCAGCATCCTGCCAGGGTGGTGGAGTAACCCACTAGCTGCTGAATGATGGTGGAACAACCCTTGGGTGGACTAGCATCCTGCCAGAGTGGTGGAGTAACCCACTAGCTGCTGAATGATGGTGGAACAACCCTTGGGTGGACCAGCATCCTGCCAGGGTGGTGGAGTAACCCACTAGCTGCTGAATGATGGTGGAACAACCCTTGGGTGGACCAGCATCCTGCCAGGGTGGTGGAGTAACCCACTAGCTGCTGAATGATGGTGGAACAACCCTTGGGTGGACAAACACAGACAAAACTTGGACGTACCTGTGGTGTGTGGCGTTCACTGTCCCTCGAGGTGCTCTTAACTCTCATTTATCTGGAAAAATCAATTATATTACACTTACACACTAACAACTCCCCCAAAAATCAGTAATATAATCTTCTGTCCATCACATTTACAATAACAAAATGCTGTTACTGTACTGAACTTACGGTAAGAACTACGAGTATGGTAGAATTAACATTATGCACGAATACAACAAATTAAATAGCGTCTACTGGTGACTAACAGTAGTGGTGCTCACCTCGTATTGACGGTAGAGAAAGCCTTTGGCGTCACACAATGCCATGTCCTCTGGGCCAGGGAGCGTAATTCCTGGAATGAGATTTATATATTAATCCACACTGCCGGATACTGCTTTCATTACTTTTGAATACACTATATAACTACTGATCTTTCACCAAAACTTTATGATCTGCAACACTAAAAAGAAAGCGAATGTTTCCAGCCTTCAATATGAGTCACAGCTCCTCAATCTAACATTCAACATAAGGGGGTATCACAATGGGCTAAATTTCTGCTGTTACTTACAAAAGTGTTGTTGTTTTAAGATTTTCTTGAGATGCTATAGATGTCTGAAATCCCACATCATTCCTTTACTTTATCAACAAGGAGGTGCCGTGTCCCGTGTCCAAATAATTCACGTGGCTTGACATTCCACGCTGGCCACGCTCTGTGGATGTAAACAAGGTCAAATGAAATGGTATCTATAATTTTCATTTGTACGCATACAAATATTCTAATGGTAATATGTTCGCAGTAAAATCACTTAAAATTGTTCCCTAATAATATTTTTTTGTAATAAATTAATGCCCTTTAATTACAAATATTATAAAACTTCAATTGGACTCGTTATCTATATCGTCGTATTCTCTCGCGGAATGTGGAAATTTACTCAGTGTGATAACTCCTTCATTCAATGACAGTATCACAATACCTCATTCCCCCTTAGGCTTCAAAGATGGAGAAAAATACGCATCGGAATTATAAGTCAACTTGTGTTAGCACGAACGATTGATTCTTTTCTCCTAGTGATTAATATAGCTGTAATTTCTAACACCCATATTGAAGTGTTATACAATGGTGAAACATGTACCGGTATACACATTTCATTAATTTTTAACCACATCTCTCGAAATGTTTC